AGGTCACTCAGTTTATTCTCTATACACTCTGGTTGATATTAAATAATTTCTTTTGTAGCCAATGCTGATATCGTATAGCCATATAATACATGAAAATTAAAAAAAAAAAAAAAAAAAAGAATTTGTATACGTGCTGCTAAAACATCTAGAATATTTGTTGGTTTGTAAAAAATTTCATGGAATCGGTAATGCTTACAAAAAGGGAGTCAAGGGTTTGATTCCCGGTAAATGTGCAAATGGTAGAAGTAATTTTGTTAATTCAGAGGGTGGTCGATTTTATAAAGAATTTAGGCTCAATTGACAAGGTTTAGAAGAAACTTCATGGAATGTATTCTAGTGACAGAATGCAATGTAAAATGATAAGAAAAACCCGATAGGATCAGACACTAACCCCACAGAGAGATTGTTAAGTTCTCATGCACTAGACCCACAGGGTATCAAGGATTGGAAAATAACAAATTAAAAAAGTTTTTTAAAACTTGTTAAATGCAGTTTTTAATGTTACAAAAAAGAGAATTATTGATAAATTTTGTAAGGAACACAGCTGTTGTAAGAGACTTGCTGTAGTATTTTGCATGCAAAGCCTCTAATTCGTTAATTTTTTTCAGTTATGATTTAAAAATGTTACTGATAATAAAAATTTGAATTAGCTACATTATTATACTATGAAAAAATATACTAATTAAGTCTTGCATGTAAGATTCTCAAAAAGGGATACAGAAAAAAGTATTTTACAGTCAAATAAAAAGAGAAATAGATTTTTTTTTCTATATTATAGTGCTCTACGTCTGGCTCCTTTAGTAAGGGCACTAATAAGGTAAAATGGGGTATCGTGGGACAACGCAGAAATTGCAGGGTATAGTGGGACAGGAGGAAAAAATCATAACTGGTAAATTCATTTGTCAAAAAATGTCCTAATATTCCTTTATCTTTTAGCTAGCTAAGACTTAAACATTCAAGGGAGAATGAAAAAAATATTTTATCAAGCTGTCCAAGTACTCGTTTGATGCATACGTTTAAAATAAAAGGCATTTCGCCCATTTTATGTGTGACACTAAAGTTGACTATCAAGATGATTTACCGAAAATAAAATTTTTTTCGTATGTTCAAACTATTTATACGTAATAATATGACACTCAAGAACAAGTTTTACTTAATATACAAGAAAAAGCAGTAGGTTTTACTTAATAAACAAGAAAAAAAAGAAAAAAAACGCTAAAGAGTACGAAAAAAATTTCGACAAGAAGTTTCAAGAGAGTAAAAAAACTGTTAGGAACAAA